CTCTCTGCTTCCTGACCCCACCAGGAGAGCAGCTTTCCCCCATGGGGCCCTTGGGCCACAACGTACCGCCTTATCTGACGCCCAGAGCAGTGGAGTCTGCCATCTGAGGACCGGATCTCTGAAACCATGAGGTGCAGGTGAACTTTTTCTCCTCTAAGTTGTTCTTAGATGGAAAGCCAACTAAACAGTACGCTCATCCTCCACTACCACTCACTCTGAGGGTCCAGGGGCCTTCACAGTATACCACCACGGTGGACGGCTTGAGAGGAGCCCAGAGTGATCCCACCCCATCAGTTCCAGGTGGCCCTGTCCTTTCTCGGTTAAACCCATTGGGAATGCAAAGTAACTCTCTTCTGAGAATAACGTGTGGTTTTCTTGTCTATTCCATTAAATTCATTAACCTTTATTATTTCCTTCCTTTCACTCTCTTTGGATTAATGCTGCTACTTGTTTTCCAGTCTCTTGTGATGAAATCTTCTTATCTCATTAGTTTTTGATTCCTTTTTTCCCAATATTTACATTTAATGAGATAATTCCCATAGCTGTATTCACAGATGTTTTTGTAGAGTATTTTTATTACCATTCGGCCCCAACAGGGCCATGACCTTTTTATTAACTTTGTTATCCCAAGTATTACCACCCTGTCCAGAAAAGCACACTACAAAAATATTTTGAAAGAATGAAGGAATATATAAATGGGATGAATTATTCTAAAAGCTGAAAACTGTCTTTAATTAGCCCAGGAGGTGGCAGTATAGACGTTTGAGGACTGAGTCCACTTTTCCATCACTAACATTCCCAGATTCCCCGGCTGCCTTGATCTTCCTCATATCTCCATATCAAAACCATTATTCCTTCCATTATCGTGCACACAACTACCAGGGTTTACTTTGAGTGAAGTTCATCATCCGAAAACAACCACCATGAGAACCAGTTCACTTTCAAGGAGTTAATGGTAGCTTGTGGGACACAGGCTCAAAAATAATTGTTACAATGATAAAGTGAACTATATAAGTAAGAGAAATTTTAAGGGGGCATGAAGGGGCCAGGAATGGACTATTAAAGCCAGAATCGAGGCTCTTAAGTGGGCCCACCACCCTATGGCTTCAAGCTTAGCCTCAGCAAGGAGTGAAGTCCTGGGAGATGTGGAAATGTCAAAAGAGACAGGGGATTCAGAAGGGATTTACAGCATTCTCACTATGAGAGCTGATGTAGTTCCCGTCAGTGATGAGCTCCAGGCCTGGGGACAACTGGATGAAGTCACAGGAAGGCATTTGGAGTTGAAAAGGTTAAAGGAAGGAAAATAATGGGAGTGTTCTCAGTGTGGAGGCTGAAGCAGCGAAGAGGCCAGCCGGATGGTCAGGTCCTTGAGTGGACTGAACTAAAGGCAGGACCATGCTCCAAATATGCCTTTAGCTATTCTGAGACCCTCTGATGCACAAGAGGCATAGCGGGAGTGGGTGGGCAGAGAATGTGTTGGAAAGCATCAGGAAGTTGCAGACAATAATGCGAGATAATGTCATGGCTGCAGAAAGCACCTTGGAAGTGACCTAGGAGGGAGGAGGGAGACAAGGAGGCAGTGGTAGGCATTAGGAGTCCGGTTTAAAGTCTGTGACTCTCTGCAGACCAGGCCCCTCCAGTGAAGGATCAATTTACATGAACAGAGCAGGGGCTCTTTTGCTGGTGGAGCAACAGGTACCCCTGGATTCAGAAGCATCCTGGACCCTGGAGGCTCATAATAATACAGTTTCTGAAAACTCTAGTCAGCTCTAGCAATAGCCCGATCCAAATCGAGAACCCTGCTCTGATTCCCAGGGTCTAGTGAACAATTTCAGCCAGAAGTCTCTGATCCTACAGAGCTAAAGGATAAGACCCTGGGACAATCATCTGTGTATCTGATGTAACAACACCCTCCTGCATCCTAGTGTTTAGGGGAGGGTGAAACCATGTTTCAAAGGCCATTGATTGCTATCTAGACAGAGAAAAGTTCCCATCAGGATGGAGAGATGGAAAGAGACACAGATTCACTTTCTCTCCTGGGGAAAGAAGCAAAGTGATGATTAGCTTGTATGCATATAAACCTCTGTTTTGCTTTGCTTCATTTTATGATTGAATAACCCATCTGAGGAGACTTCAATGGCTCCCACCCGTGACCACGGCACAGCACCAGAAACACAGTCAAGACAGCTGCCTCAATGCATGTACCAGCAGGGTGGCCCCCGACACACACCTTGACAAACAGGGTCCTGCAGGGAGCCTTTGTGTTCCCTGGATTTATGAAACTTATTTTTAGGGGCTGGGGTTGTGGCTCACATGGTAGAGCGCTTGCCTAGAATGAGTGAGGCACTGGGTTTGATCCTCAACACCACATAAAAATAAATAAGTAAAATAAAGTTATTGTGTCCATCTACAACTAAAAAAAAGGTATTATTAGAAGACCTAACTTTCTTTTCTTAATGAGAGTAATTAGGAGAAAGTAGCTATCAAAATAGATCATTCACTCTTTAGCCTCGTAATCATTATAATTATCAATTGAGAGATCCATCATTTACAAAGCATTTTCACATACATCACTGTATATACTTAGTGTAGACTGCTGTAAGAGAAATGAGGTCTCCACTGAGTTCTGTCTGAATCAGGGGCCCTTGGGGTATTGTATTCACATCTGGTCACACATTTAAGAAGGAATTTGAAATCTGGGGAGAGCATGCCACAGTATAATTCCCCAAAGATCTGAAGTCAGATATACCTAGATAACAACCCCACCTTGGCACTAACCCTCAAAAGCTGTGTGACAGTAGATGACAGCACACATATTCATTAACCTCTCTTTGCCCATTTCTTCAGCTATCAAGTAGAAATGAGGGAAGCACTTGACAGGTAGAAACGGGGAAGAAATCAGTATTCAAGGGAATGGTGGGAACAGATCTCTGAAGGTACAGAGACACATAGTGGGGTTGGAGAACAGAAAAATGCTCATTGATCTGGGTGAATAAAGAGAAGTAAATTTGGGCCAGATTGTGGAAAATCTCTATGGTCACACTGAGATATTTCTATTTTATTATATTAGAGAAGAATAGCCACAGAAGGTGTTTTATCAAAGTACTAACAAATTCAGAGGGGTACATTAGGACCTGAGTACAATGTTCGATCCTCAGCACCACATAAAAATAAAATAAAGATGTTGTGTCCACCGAAAACTGAAAAATAAATATTAAAAAATTCTCTCTCTCTCTCTCTCTCTCTCTCTCTCTCTCTCTCTCTCTCTCTCTTTAAAAAAGAACAGATTTATTTATTTTTTTACTTACTTACTTTTATGTGGTGCTGAGGATTGAACCCAGTGCCTCACTCATGCAAGGCAAGTGCTCTACCACTGAGCCACAACCCCAGCCCCCAAGCTCTTTTGAAAGGTTTTCTTTTGAGACAGGGTCTCGCTAAATTCCCAGCTGACCTCAAACTTGTGATTCTTCTACCTCCTGAGTTGCTGAAACTGTAGGTATGTGTCACTGCTGTGTGATCTGAGTTGTTGGCTTCCCCGCTCTGGCTTGGATCTAAACCAAATGTGCCATTTTCAACCTGAGTCCATGAAAATCTTCACTTGAAGAAAATATTATGCTTGCGAAAATCACTGACTAGAGGATGTACAAATCTTTATTAATCTCTGACAACCCCAAAGACCATAGAGATCCAGACTCAACTACCCATTCATCCTTTATCATGGGTGTCCTTGCCTGCCCTCTGTCCGGGTCAGGTCCCCTCCCTTCACCTCTCCTTCATACAGTTGAACATCACGGGGAAAGGGGATGGTGGAGGAGAGCTGCTCAGCTCATGGCAACCAGGTAACAAGAAAGGCGGGGGCGGGGGGCGGGGGGCAGAGACAACAGATAGTCCCCAAGCGCATGTGCCCAGTGACCACTTCTTCCAAACAACCTTATACCTGCCTACAGTTTCCACCTCATTCCAGTAGTCCACTGGTTTTACTAATCCATCAAATGGATTAATCCACTGATGAAGTTGGAGTCCTCTTGATCAGTCACTTCCCAAAAGTCCCACTTCTGGGATCTTGCTGTCTTGAGGACCCAGCCTTCAACACATGAGCTTTGGGGGAACATTCAGATCCAAACCATAAGAGAGGTTCAGTTTCCTCCCAAACAAGCAAGGAAAGACTGAGAAATCCTTGACTCCTGATAACAGAAGAGTGGAGACCTGGAAGTCTGGACAGCCCTGTTTCAGGTCACCAGTTCTGAGACCCTGTCTCTCCCCTTTTGTTCACTTCCTAGTCACATCCTCAGCAAAGGGCAAGGAAGGACAGAAATACCTTCTCCTGCCCTTCACCTCCTCAGGGGAAGGACTGAAGTGGGCAGGACTGTCAGGGACTAGAAGGAAATTCTCCTTCAAAGATTAGCCTGACAGCCCCCTGGGAGACATCCTGCCTGGGAGGCATCCTGCAGCTACCTATCTCCCTGAGACATCCTGCGGCCACCTATCTTCCTGAAACCTATCTTCCTGAAACATCCTGCGGTTATCTCACCTTGTGCAGACATCCAGCAACTGCCGATAAGAGAGCTTCCCCATCCCCAGCATATAAATACCCCTGTGTGAACAATAAAAGTTTGCAGCTTGATCAGAACTCCTGTCTTGCTGTCATCCTTCTGTGTCTCTTGTCCCTTCATTCCTCCCCATCTAGGTTTGCTGCCCACGTTGATGTGTCCTGCCGGTCGGGACACAGGACCCTGGGGAAGGTTCCCTCTGGAGCCTCATCCCACTGTGAGATGAGAAGAGACAGCATCTCTGTGGCTACTCTGCCCTGGGGAAACAGGAGACAATTCTCACACTCATGACACAGACAGCCTGAGGGCTAATGGCAGACAGGGAGGTCCTTTGAGCACTTAGAAAAGCACAAGATATTTGCTTTAAAATTATGAGAGCTCCGACATTTATTTCTGTTATAAGAGCGACAGAAACACAAGAAAACAAGACAAAATATGAAGACCTAAAAATATTTTAGACAAACCACATATTTTATTCCTTTTATTCATGTCTACAGAAAATGTTTCATGTGCTTCCAATAAGTAAGATGAAGAGTCCAGGGAGGGCTGAGAGGGCCAGGGCTCTGGGTCCTCACTCTGCCCAGCACCCAGTGGGGCCAGCCAGGCACAGGCAGGCCACAGGCACTGGGGAGTGTGTGTGGTCACAGCTCCTCTCTGCCTGTGAAGGAGCACACAGTCCCTTCCCTCAGGGTGCTTTGGAGAGACAGGGACATGGGACTCTAAAGACATAGCACTCAGTTCAGAAAAGCCCCCAGAGCCAGCTCAGAGCCTCAGACTAAGAGAGAATAGTGGTGGACCAGGGCACAATCCCCGAGGGCTTCCCAAAGAGGAGATGATGGAGCAAAATGGCCAGGTGACCAGGAACCCATCCACTCTTTCATCCATTTCTTCAACAAACACCTAAGGCACCTACTGAATTCCAGACATGGGTAAAGAACTGACACAAGACAAAGGGACAATAAATCTCAGCTCCTTCCCTTGGAGAGCTCATGGTCTGGGAGAGAGGACAGAAACCACTCTGATAATGACAGCCCTTCAGTAACAGCTGCACCCGAGTCTGTACAAGTCAACGTGTGAGCAGAGGGAAGGAGTGGGCACACAGGCCTGGCGATGGGTGAGAGTCGGCAGCTTCCAGGCAGACCTCAGGGGAAGACGCACCAGGCAGAGGACCATCGCCCATCGACTCTCCCGGCTGAACAGGAGGTGCCCAGGGATGAAGAAGGTGAAGAGAGGGGAACGGGGCCCAGACGTGGAGCGCCGTGAGGGCCCAACCTACAGGATGCTGCAGGACGGTAGTAGGAAAGGACTGTATCACCCCAACCTGCGAAAGGGAGGCAAGGTGGGACTTGCAGAGGAGGGGGACAAGATGGGTGGGAAGTGAGGACAGAGACCTAGCAGCAGGTTGAGCAGTCTCAGGAGCTGGGGCCTCCCTCACTGTTTGAAGTGAGGCCAAGTCTTGATTATGTTGTACAAAGCCTGTCCCGGGGACAGAGTATTGGCCACATCACTGTGGCCTACCAGCAGGTAGTTGGGGGCCAGGTACCCCTTGACCACAGCACACTGGATCAAGTCCTTGGCCACCTCCAGCGCAGAAGCATTGGGCGCAGTACCTGCAAAACACAGCGGTCCGTTGGTCATAGGAATTCCAGGGTGCCCTGCCCAGGGCAGGACACACCCCTAGAACCATCCACCACCACCAAGCTAGTACAGGCCACTGCTGTCAACTGTCACAGAAACAAAAGGAGACAGAAGCAAGGGGCAGGGGCAGAAGCCCCTTGCGCCAGCTGCCAGCTCTATTTGTATCAATAGGTTGCACAAGATCACTGGCATCAGAAGTACCCATTGTTCACTGTGTCACTGGGCAGGTTACAGAGTTAGCAACACCGTGCAGCTTCTTCCTCACTTACATACTACCGTTGCAATGTGCAATGTGAGGAGCTTTGTGCAGCTCTCAAGAAAGTCCATTGTTTAAAGTTACTGTTCTGTGGACAGGTTCAGGCCCAGGGGAGCTTGGTGAAACACTGTGGTTTGTCTAACAAGAGAGTTCCTTTATTCCCAGGAGCTCAGTGCCTGAGACCAAGGTCGAGGCTGATAAGACTCTAAGTCAGAGCCTCCTCATGCAGGGCATTGCCACAGCAGCCAGGGTTTCCTAGTCCAGGCATTCTGTGCCTTGGCACAGAAACTTCCTCAGCCACCAACCATGACACAGTCAGGGGACCCTAATCCTGAACACAGAACCCTTATAGTTAGCCACTCAATGGACAGACTCTAGACTTCAGTGCCTCAGGGCCAAAGTTTTCCCAAATCAAAAGGTCTGAGTCTGGGGAAAGAAACTCATTCTTCTGAGAATATGCAAAGCCTTTTTCCACTGCAAAAGTTTATCTTAGTGGGGAAAGTTTACCTCCCCCAGGGAACACATGGCAAGGTCTGGAGACAGTTTGGTTGTCAAAATTAAGAAAGGGAAGATACTGTTATCTCCATTTGATAGAAGCCAAGAATACTGCTAAGCCTCGTAAGGCCCAGGACCTGTAGGGCCCAGGTTAGCGCCACAACAGAAAATCATCTGATGTGAGACGTCAGAATCACCAAGGCCAGGAACCTGTGCTTTACCCAGAGATTTGCTTGCTCCTTCTTCACCTGTTCTGACCTCAGGTCAGCCCCATTTCCAGGCACAGTCCTGGGCCACTCCTGCCCCCACCCAATTCCCATTTCTGTGTCAGCCTGAACCAGCCCCAGTGACATAGCCGCCCCTCTCCAGGATTCAACAAAAAGCACCTGAATATTGAAAAGGAAAAAAAAAAAAACACTCTAGTCAAGGGCTCTGGTCTGTGACGATATTCACTGTATGGAGTGTGCAGTCTCAATGCAGAGTCAGGGTTTATCCATGTTGGTGTGACATATAAGGTGAAGGGGTGCCACTTGCTGCCATGGCAACCAAGAAATGGTGTGTCTGCTAAGATGAGTAACAGTAGGCACAAAGATGGCTCCATGTGTCCCTTAGGGGTTGGAAGAGAGAGTTCTGGCTGCATGAGCAGGAGGTGAGTTCCATCTGAGGGTCACCTCTGGCCACACTCAGCCTAGTTAAATGTCAGATTTGAAGCTCCACACGTGCAGTCATTTAGACAGTGCCTGAGTCTGATGTCTTTGTCACCCACGTCACACCTTCTCCCAAAGGTACCATACGATGACCACCACTGCCCAAAGCATACACTTACCTGTAAAGGTGCCCATGAACGAGATGGCCAAGGCAATGTCATTGTAGCCAGGGGTTCGGGAGCCTTGAACATTCCAGCCGACCCCTTCATAAACGGCACCATCCTGGCCCACGAGGAAGCTGCAGGACACAAGGGGGTGGAGATGGGCACGAGAGAGAGGCGCTCTGGGATCGCTTCTCGTCGTCATTCCTAAGTCACTCATGTCTCTTCTCACCAGATATCATTAAATTCTAAGCCCTGGGTCACAGAAACAAGTCAGACCTAGTCCTTAAACCAGCTTGGGGTGGGGGAGGACCCTGATTTATAGCATTTGTAGATTTCTGGGGAAGAAAACTCCCACCGTGGCTGATTTTAGGCTACCAGCTATTTAGCAGCTGGCTCAGAAAATTCCTGAATCTCTGACCGTCAGTCCTCTGAGCTGCCGTGCCCATCCGGCTCCAGCACATCACTCCTGACACGAGGAGCTCACTGTCAATGAGGAAATTGGAAAGACAGCTTTCCGTGCCTGCCTGTCCCCCACCTCACCAAAGCACGACTTTCTCCAAGCTGGCCCACAGCCTCCTCCCCACGGAGGACAAGTGCCCATCTCTAGGCTTACCTGCCTTGGCCTCTTCGCACACTGGACTCTGTCGACCCTCTCCAAATATTCTCTTCCTGTGGCTTCCCCCACACCACACTCTCCCAGCTTTCTCCTCTGGCTGCCTCCTCTCTGCCCCTCGGATTCCTGTGGCCTTCCTGAGGGGCTCCTCAGGGTCCTGCTCTTTAAGCCTCTTCTCCCTCAACACACCCACTTCCTTGGCTCCTTTACCATCCATGAAAGTCCACAAGTTCATGACTAGACCCACTTCTTCCCGTCTATGCTCCTTCCTGGGATCTCATCTTGGAGAAAGGTGCTGCCACCCACTGCCCACTGGTCATGGGCACAAAAACAGTCCTCAGCCCACCCACTCGCTCAACCCACGCTTGTCTGCAGTGTCTCCCGCCACTCCCCTGCCCCTGCACCTAGTCATTAACCATCACCTCTTCCACTTCTCTCCATGACAGAGGCCATCACCCTAGCTGTGCCGCCATATCATCTTGCCTGAATGGCTACACAGTCCTCAGACCTGGCTACCTCCAGTGTTACACTCTTCAGATCCATTCCTGGAGCCACAGCTAGAGTGGCCTTTTGAAAATACGTTGCATGTCATGTTAAAATCCTGCTTTTGGTCCTTGGCATCAAGTCCAAGCTCCCCAGCTCGAATCACAAGGTCTTCAGGACATGGCCCCTGTTTTACCCCCCACACCCCTCTTTAGCATCTCTGTGCTCATGAGAAACACCTCTCCGCTTCTCAAAGGAACTGTTCTCGGGCTGGACTCCAAGCCTTTCCATAGAAGTCCCTTCCTCTATCTGAAATGTTCTTCCTCCTCTGATTGGTTCCCACTGGGTCTTTAGGTCCCAGCTCATGTGTGACTCCCTCAGGTAACATGTCCTTCGCAGCCATCTCCCCAGCAACCTGAGCCCTCCTTCAAGCACCTACTGCACCTCACTAAGGCTTAACTTGTTCAACTCTTTTTCTCCCTCCCTAAAGTACTAGCCCCATAAAGGCAAGACTATGTCTCTGTTCCGTCCAAACAGCGTCCCCAGAGCACAGCCTACGGCTATCTCATGTGAAAAGCAAGTGTTTATCCTGACTCCAGGCCCTCCCAAGGTGACAAAATGACAGTCATATAGTATAATAGAAGGGACACAATAAAAAGTCAGAAATCAAAAGACAGGTAACAGCGTTGAGCAATCTGAGTAGAAAAGGGAAAGACCTCTCCTCAACCTCCATCATTTCCCTGTTCAGGATTTCCAAATTTATAGTCAATGTTCAGACATCCAAGTGTCACTAAGGAGAACATCAATCCTCCATGGCAGGACCTAACAAAGCACTTGGGAGGTCCTGATAAATGATAGATGTTGGGAAAAACATTATATCCTCTTTATAAAGGGTTATTACTAAAATGGAAACAGAACAGAGGTTCAGCAGCCCAGAAGCCCACATGGAGCAATGGAAATTCATCTAAGACAGGCCCCCGCCCAGGGCTCCGCAGGCCACATCCTATGCAAAGTGCCCAGCTTGGGCTACTAACATCCAGCTCCACTTTGCTAAGCTGTGAATGTCCCCAGAAGTGGGGGTTCCCTTTATTAACGTGTACGAATATGTACTGGGCTAGCCGTGGCCTGTCCTGAGACTTAATACTTAATGGGGTTGTTTCTGATGGGACGTGAGATGGTGTGCAGCCCCCAAATGTCTTATCTGCAAGCTCTGGATGCATCCTTGAGGCACCTCTACCTGTTTTGTGGACCATTTGGTTCCTATGTGCCAGTATTAAGGGACAAGTTTTTAAAACTGGCACTCTAAATGGAAACAACCTGAGCAAAACCGGCCCGGAACGTTGAGCCCCATTTGGGCTACACTTAATGAGGAGAGAAAAAGAAGGGAGGGAGGGAGGGTTGGTTTGGTCTCCCGTTAGGTCAGTGTGTTCCTTAATGAAGACTCCCAGACCCTGGCAGCCCCTCCCTCTCCTTCATACAGGGAAGACTCTCTCGCAGTAGGCCCACAGGCTGGCTGCAGAGGATGGCACTGTGACCTGAGTGGGAACAGCTTCTAGATGTGGCCACACTGAGGGGCGGAGCAGAGGGAAGCACTTCCTTGAAAAGGTCACCACCTGAGATCGTCTTGTCTAAAGATTCCCTGGCACACAGGTGCCTCCTCGGTGGTATTTCAACAGTCTCAGCATCCGTCATGCCAATATGCTACCTTTGAGAGAGGCACGTGTCTTAAGAACATGCCCAGGGCCACGACCACCCCCTTAGATAACTCCTGAATAAGACCCTCCCAGGACTGGATGGGAATCCATGAGGCCAGACCTGAGGGTCTTTCACATGGTGAGAACTCAGGAGATCTTACTGCCCTCTCCTTCCCTTCAGAGGCTCAGTTTCTGCCCCCAGAAACCAGAAAAGAAGCCCCCATTCTGGGGCCCACTTACTTATACCCCACGTCGCAGGCATGGCGTCTGTCCATGAAGAGGGACTGGAGGTCTCGCACCAGCAGGCGGCACTCGTCAGACACACCGCAGGTCCTCCCAGCAGTGTGGAGGACGACCACGTACTTAGCAGGAAGGGTCATCTTGGGACAGTAGGTCTCCCTGGCCCCCCAAGCAGACCGAGGGACAATGCTAGGGCAAGCTATGGCAGGGTAAAAACATAATGATAATTAAACTCTTCCTTTAAAATCCATATAAGTGGTACCCTAAGTTTCCTCAGCACTACTTTTCCGGGAGGGGTCCAGTGCTGGGGTGGAACCCAGGTGCAATTCACCACTGAGCTACATCCTAGTCCTTTTTAGTTTTTATCTGGAGACAGGGTTTCACTAAGTTGCTGAGGCTGGCCTCACGCTTGCAATCCTCCTGCCTCAGCCTCTCAAATTGCTAGAATTATAGGTATGCACCACCTATATTCAGAAATGTGTTTGCATATAAGCATATGAATATATAAATAGGTGTAGAAATATCCTGTCCCTTTCTGTGTTCTTCCCCCACCCCCAGCATTTTTTATCATATAACATGCCAAGTGTTTTTCCGGTTTATTTGCGTCTTTCTCTACCCTGTAGATTGAAACATCATGAGGTCAGGGATTTTAATGTCTCGTATATCCTGAGAGTCTAGTAGGTGTTCAGTAAATGTCTATCAATTTGAAGAAACAAGTGAACAGATATAACACCAGGCATAACGCCAAGGTTCTGCCATTCTAGGAATCTGAGGGGGAAAGAGGTGCCCTGGAGGGTCCCTTTCAAGGTTTGCTGGCCCCAAAGTTTCAAGAGGAATCTGAGGAGAGCCTGGTGGGAAGCCACCCCCCGGGTGGCGTTGGAGTCTAGTGAGGAGCCGTCCTGGATGGAGCCCAGAAGGGCCCAAGGTCTTACCGTGCCTCAGCCTTGCCTTTGGGGGAGGAGCCAGGCAGTTCTCGCCTCTCACAACAAGTGGCTGGGTGTACCTAGGTGACAGGTGTCCCCTCTGCACAGCATAAGAGACCAGGTCCTTCATGGCTGACAGGGCGGCAGGGCTGGGGCTGAGGCCTGGAAGAGAGCAATTGTGGGGAATCTCAGTCTGACCTGAGCTTCAGGGGACTGAATAGAGAAGGAACACTGGCCAAGCCCTGCCCAGCAGGCTCCTCCCCCAGGTCTGAGAGGCAAGGGTCTGCCAGGACAGAGTTCTCTGTGGCCCAGGATGAAGCCCTTTCCCAGTGACCTGCCAGGACTCCTCTGTCGACTCCCTCTATTCATGAGAGAACACAGAGGCAGCGACCACTCACAGCGCTGGCCTGCTCAGGCCAGGGTCCCCCATCAGAAGGGCCCTGGCAGGCACGAGCCAGACTCTGCCCACATTCGCCCATTTAATCCTCACCACAAACCCCTGAGGCAGAAGCTATCATTAAGCCCATTATTCATGTAGAGGAACTTGAGGCTGTAAAAAGTAACACCTTCAAAATCCCAAGCCAACAAGAGGCAACAAGTAGTCATCAAAGTTTATAAAGAAATACATCAACTAATCAATTAGTAAACAAAACTGCTGACCCGGTGAGTCTCTGGCAGGCTGGAAACCCCCCAACCCCGGCTGGCCGTGGAGGATACAGACTCACGTACTGATTCCTCTACTCACGGCTGTGTCGCTGTGAGTTATTTACTTCTCTGAAACTCAGGCTGCACCCTGTGGTAACAGAAACTGTGAAATCCACCTGGACAACCTCAGAGAATATTGATATTCGAGATCTTGGTTAACAGGAAGGGGTGCACAAATTCAGGGAAATGGCCCCGGACAATGTATGTTCCAAGGTCAAGGCCAACGGCATGACATGTAGAGCAAGAGACCAGAAGAAAGTGGAGTCAGAGATCGGGGACCTCTGAGTCATTTGTAAACAATGTATGGACAATCCGGGAGTGAGAGATGGAAGGAGGCGGTGTCAGGCAGGAATCTGGGGGTACAGTCTGCGGCTACAGAAAGTTGACATTAGAGGAAGACGAGACAGTCATTCACCCAGAGGTGACAGAGGAAGCCCGGCTCTTTCCAGAAGAGCAGGGGAACTGCAGAGGAAAAACTCATAAGCAGCTCTTCCTACAAGATGGCTAGAAGAAGAGGGGTTGCCATGGAGACTGAGAGAAGTCAGAGCAGTTGGAGAAGCATCCTCACAAAGCCATGACAGGGAGGCCAAGGGAGAATGAATTCCGGGAGTGGATCTTCGGAGAAGTCTGGGAAGGCTGCATGGTGTTGAGACAGGCCATGTTGAGTGCCAAGGACTCTTTGGAGAGGGCTCGTCGGGGGCTGTCATTACCTTCCTTGGTGCCGAAGAAGGCGACGCCCAGGGAAATGTTGCCGTAGCCTTGGGTGTGCGAGCCTTGGACGTTCCAACCAACACCTTCATACACCCTGCCATCGTCCCCGACCAGGAAGCTGTCAGCAAGGGAACAAGGTTGAGCGGCTGACGTGGTGACCCACCCGAGAGAGGAACCACGTACCCAGGCTCCAGATGGACGAGGGCTTGAGCCATGTTCACTAAAAGGAACTCACATGGTTCTTCCCAAACTGTGGAAGACCAGGTCCCTCATCCTAGTCCTTAACATTCTGACCTGCTGCAGCACTCCCTCCCTGCCCCATCCCCTGCTCAGACCTGGAGCTGAACATAAATCATCCCGTGCACTCAGAGGAGGAGGGGTCCCCGGTCTTCACAGTAATTAGCATCGACCCAACCACACCACGCTAGCTCAAACATGGCTCTCCTCCCTCCTCCAAAATGCACGGTGCCCATGTGATCGTCCCCAAGCTATTCACCTGATTTCTCCCCGCAGGGTCACTGTCCTGCATGTACCTGGTACCTGAACAAGGACATGCAACGTGGAAGCAGACAGTGCGTTCAGAAGTGATCCCAGAAGCCAGAGGGAGGGAGTAAGGAGAGTGAGACAGGAAGGAGACACCAAATAGAGTGTGCACCTGAGCTGGCTTGGCAGGGGCCGCCCCGCTTCCACCACCCACCTCACCCATGTCCTTCTGAGGAACCGCGTACGCATATTTTATAACCGTCCTTCAGAAGGGCTGGGGGCCAAGGGAGATCTCATCAGCTCCTCTCTCCCCTCACCGCCCAGGACCTTGGGAAAGCCTGAAGTATGTTGGACACCGAGCAGGAGCCATCACCATGCTCAGGAACTGTCCGTAAGTGGCCAAAGTCAGATGTGAGTCTTCTAGATGGGTCTTAGAGCAACAGATGGACGAGTGCCCCCAAGAGACTCCCTCCTTCCTCCCTGGGCAGGTGGAGACAAACTCAGAGCTGATAGGGAGCAAAGGCACTCAGGGACAAGGACGTCGTCTGTAACCTGCGATGTGCCGGGGAAACCAAGCTTGGCCTGGGTAGGAAGATTGGTTGTCCTTATTTTCTTTGGGGGGTTCCCAGGGGGAGGGACTGGGTGGAAAATTCTAAAGGACTTGGGATCTCATGAGGGTTTGAAACATTTTATTCACTATAAAACCTACGTAACTATAATCTAGACAATGAGGGAAATGAATGCAAATTTGTTATGGTTCGGACATAAGGTTCCCCCCAAAATCTCCTGTTAACGCAGGAATGTTCGGAGGGAAAGTGATTGGACTGTGCGTGCTGTGACCTAATGTGGCCATCTTAGTTTCAAAGGACTGACTGGGTGATCAATGTAGGCCAGGGGCACGACGCGAGGGGTAGGTCCCTGGGGGAGTGCCTGGAAGGTTCATCTCCCTGTGGCCCTCTCCCTCTCTCTGTCTTCTGACCCTGCACCTCCCCTCTGCTGGGCCCTTCCCCCCTGAGGTACTGCCGCACCTTGGCCCCAGAACAATGGAGTCGGCCACCCACGGACCCCGAAACCACAAGCCCTGGACAAAACTTTTCCTCCTCTAAGTTGTTCTTGTGGGGTATTTTGGTGGCAGGAACAAAGAGCTGACTAAAGCAGAAGGATCCAGAGAAGCAGCCCCGCAGAGCAGGGTTGGCCCTGTGCCTCGAGACCCGGCCCCGGCTCTTACTTGTAGGCCACGTCACACCAACTGTTGCTGTGGACATGATAGGCCTGCAGTTCCCGCAGCCTCTGACTGCAAACCGCCTGGTCGTGGCACTCCAGCCCAGGGACATGATGTGTGACGAGGACATCCACCGGCATGATCAGTTGAGAGCTGCAGCCAACAGCTTCTGCCCCCCATTCCTTGCGAGAGACCATGGTGAAGACATCTGTGGAAGGAACCGTGGGATGCCCCGTGGTGGGGGAAGAGCGTTGGGAGGAAGCCCTCGGCAGGCAGGTACACCCTCCCCAGCTCATGCCATCGGCATCCCACCCCTTAGGCAGAGTCTGATCCAGCCAGGGCGACCGGATGCTTTGCTGCCTCACCCCAGCACATCCCCATCCGCAATAAGACACTGTCTCCCAGCTCCTTCCCTGCTCTGCCCAGGCGCCTACTGCAGGGAGCGGCTCTGTCTCACCCACTTTCCCTGGAGGAAGTCCTGAGCAGCACCAGAGAGGGCTGCGTCTCCTCCTTGGCCCTGAGGCTCCTTCTAGGCAGGGGCTGGGTCTCCCACCCCAGTCTCCTCCCCGAGGTCAGGGTTTCTACCACCACCTGTCGCCGACCCTGTATCCCAAGGACCTAGGGCAATCCGTGAAGTGGCCGGCCAGTGTTACGCTCTACGGGGTTCCATTCGCCCCGTCCCATGTCACGGGGTGTCACGTGGCTGTGCAGACCTGAGAAACATTTCCAGCCACCTGAGAAACCCCAGTCGGTCCCCAAGATTCCTCACCATCAAGACCGAGTTTGCCTTTTTCAATGAGCTGGGAGATGTTGCCAAACAAGGCCTGCAGACCCTCCGACACCTGTGTTGTGTGTGCTTTGTCCCAGGAGGAAACACCTGCAAAAGAAAGTTTCGTTTGTGCATCAAACTACAGATACCAGGCCTCTAACCAGAAGGAGCCAACCCCTCTCCACGGCCCCTTGGCCTCCCCAAATGCCCAAGCCACCTCCAAGAAATCCCTCTCAACTAACCAGAGGACCACCTCCCACAGCAGAAGGAGGCATGGCTTTCTCCAACACCCACTCGAGGTGAAGCCCTGGTGTCGGGAGCCGCTCTGGACAGGAGCTGGGTACTCACCTTTAAGTCCTGAGTAAAGAGGTACTGAGCTGGTACCGCACCCACTGCAATGCGATTGGACCTCAACTCCCTCAGATAAGAAAGGTGCAGCTCCGGGCGTGGGCGTCACCCAGTGGGGTTGAGTTACACCACTGTTTGTTGTAACCCTACCCTTTGCCCTTTTTTGGATAGAGTGTTCCATGGATCAGCTCCCCCCACTAATAAAACCCGGGTTCGAGGCGTGCTCCTCTCTTTCTTGCCTGCCTTGCCCCCCGTTGTGGGAGCTGTGGCTGAGGAGCGGTCACTGAACCCAAAGCAATAGGAACTTTCTGTGTCTGTGTCTTTATTTAGTCAGCCCAAATTCACTTAGAGTGACCCTGATTGATTGAGTCGCGTGTCCCCGCACCCCGGCATGAGACTTAATGGTTATGGGCAGGGAGTCAGAAATATCAGCCTATCCTCCTGAGTGGCATGTACACACACACACAATTCACAAAAACAACTTGGAAATGCATTTGGGCACCTCCAAACCACAAAATCCTCTTGTGTGTGAATTTTAGCTAATGGAAACATGAGAAAGAGTCTTCGGGGAAACAATATAGAATTACTTGCATGAGGCAGGCCAATGCCTGAGTGACTGGAGGGCATGTGCTAACCCAGGTTCCATGGTCCATGAAGGACAGACAGCAGTGGTTTGGGCACAGAGCATCAGGGCATCAACTTACATCTAGCGAGTGATATTCCCAAAGAACTTTTTTCTTTTTCTTCTTTTGTGGTTGATTAGGGTTTTTTTTTAACCCCTGTTTTTTAAAAAATTTGATCTTTCTAAGGAACATTTTTTTTTAACATTAAAAACCTAACTCAAGTCGGACTCTGAATAACATCATAATAATACATCGTTCCAGTTTATTTGCTTTTAATCTCCAGGTGCTCAGTCCTTCTGTGTGTGTCATCTCATTTGACTCTCCAATAAGTTGACGAGGTTGGTGACCTTACCTCAATTTTCAGGTTGGAAGATTAAGAGTTTACTGCATAACTTATTTAAAATCATTATCGGAAGCAGAGCAGGGACTCAAACCTAGGTTGAAAGAGTCCAAGTTCCACGCTCTAAGTATAAAGCTATTCTTTCAACCCAGGGAATTCCTAATACAGGATTTTGGAAAGATGCTCTCAGTCAGTATTTGGTCCAGAGAAAGAAAACTTACCACAGGACTGGAGACCCAGAACAGAGAAGACGAGAAGCCAGGGCAGCATCCTCACAGGGGCCCAGCACACCGATGGGAACCGTATGTTTAGCAGCCCTTAGGCAAGCGGCAGTCCTGGGAGACACACTGACAGTTAACGTGACTATGACGCTCACTCTACAGATGGAGCACCCCCAGACTACACCGTACCCCGTACCCCGTCTGACTCCCTGCCGCACTGTGGGCCTCCTGAGGCTCCTTCCTGCTTGCCAGAGGAAAGGGACAAAGATGTTGTCATGGCGACTCAATTTTATCGAATATCCACTGAGTGCAGGGCGTGTTCAGACACTTGCACACGCAGTCTTATTTAATGCTCACCATCTTTGTAAGGTTAACCCCCATTTCTACAGACAAGGGCAACAAGACCCCAAAACGGTCCAACCAAGAAATCCAAACTCTCCTAGATGAGTCCACTGTGAGGATGACTTTCCAGCTGGGGACAGAACCAAGGAGGGAGATGCAGGAGTTGGGGGAGGGAGGATCCCAGTTCTAGGGAGAGGAAATCTGACCTTAACTCTCCATTTGGTGGAGTCCAGCCCCCTCTCCTGGAGGGGGACTCTGAAGAAGAAACACTCAGAGACTCAGCAATACCTGTGGACCCTGCGCTGTCCCCGCCCAGCAGGTCAGGGTGCAGTCCGCTGGCTCCTCATTGGCTGGCAGCTCCTTCTCCTCCAGACTTGGCCTCTGGCGCGGTCCCTTCCTCCAGCCTTCCCTCTCCCCAGCACTAGAGGGCGCTCCTTCCCTGGGAATGGCGCACTCCAGCTCTGGCTTCCCGGAGAGGACAGGAAAGCCTGGGATCCCTAAGGAAAGACAGAGCTCTGAGACTCAGAGCTGGCTCCTTCCACGGAGCTCTGAAAGGAACCGTGGTGAAACCAGGCGGGGCTGAGAGCACCTGGGGACCCGCCCTGTGAATAAGTCCAGCAATCTCCTCCGTGGGAAAAAGCAAGATGGCCCAACCTTCCTGAGCTCTTTCCTCATCCCAGTCCCCAAGAAGCCCAGCCAACCTGTGGGACCCAGGGGCTGTGTCCCCGACATCTGCAAACTTCCTGCCCGTGGAAACAGATTTGCTCCAGGTGTCTGAAGGCTGTGGACTGAGGTCATTTCACCAACATGCCACCCTCCCCTTCCCCTGGGTTCCCCAACTTAATCTATATTCCCAGGGGACAGCTCACCATGCCCAATTCTTTGCGGGAGGGGGGGATGAATTCAGAGACACTCAACCGCTGAGGAACGTCCCCAGCCCTATTTTGTATTATATTTATATTTAGAGACAGGGTCTCACTGAGTTGCTTAGCACCTCGCCGTTGCCAAGGCTGGTTTTGAACTTGCGATCCTCCTGCCTCAGCCTCCCGAGCCACTGGGATTACAGGCGCAGACACTGTGCCCAGCTCGCTATGCCTAATTCTGACCCTGTAGCCTACACGTGTGTCACACTGCCTCCTGCCACACCACATCCTTGGCATCAAGCTGTCACCCATCACAGGAAGCCTCCCACAAGCCTTGCATCTCTGGTCCCTCGCCCACTCCTCGGTCATCTCCTGGGTCATCTCCTCATCAGGTGCACGCTCTGCAACGCTGCTCTCCTTGGCTGTGGATCTTTGCAGAGGGAGCTCCACCTGACACCTTCCAAGAACACAGCCAGGTGCACATTGCGTGAGGACCTCTCAGCTCCTAGTGGGTGGGGCAGTCTCTAGAGACACTGAGGAATGCCCATATCTAGAAAGGCTGCCCTTAGTCAGTCTCACTCTCAGTCAAAGGTCCCAAGAGAAGCTCCCTACACAGGAGCCCTTGAATGCACCCCAGGTTCACCCACTTTCTTGCCAGTCATGTGCCCAGGCTCAGCCAATGCCGTGAGACCGAGCCAGGGCTGCTGAGCGCTGCCCGGGGGAAGGTGCAGGTGGGCAGAGCCAGGACCAAGATGAAGGCCACCAAGAACTGCAGCCCAAGATCACTGCGGTAGGCACCTAGGGGTTTCCTGACCCTTGGGGACGGGCTGTTCCTCCGCAGCCCCGCCTCTGCCCATTTCAAGGCCAGCTTCAGCAATTTAAAAGGCCCTAAGCAACTTAGTGAGACCCTGTCTCAATTTTTTTAAATTTTTTGTTTTGTTGTTGGTTTTGTTTTTGGGTTTTTTTCAGTACGAGATTGAACCAAGGGGTGTTCCCACTGAGTTTCATCCCCAGCCCTTTCATTTTTTATTTTCAAACAGGATATCTGTAAGTTGCCCAGGTTGGCCTCCAAATTGTGATCCTCCTGCCTCAGCCTCCCAGGTGTCTGGGATTATAGTCATTGCCACCACACCGGGCCTTACCTAAGAACATTCTTAATGAAGCAGAGAAAATCGTTCATTTTATTAAATCTCAATCCTGGTTCTGTCATGGAAAAGCATCTGTGTGACTGAGCTGTGAACCAGACCACTTTTTCATGGAACACCATTTTTGCTAGAAAGCACAGAAACAGTCAAACTACGTATTTATACTTGGGTACATCGTAGACTTCCTCTTGAAAGTATACAAATGTGCCTTTTGTTTCAAGGAAAACAACTGATGGAATTGGTTAGCTTAGTAAAATTAGTACTTTCAAACAAAAATTAGAATTTTGAAAAATTTTTGTCTGCCCCCATGATTTGACAGCTTCCCAATACTGAAAGACTTTACCGATGGATGAGATCAGTGATGATGTTACCAAATGTGATTTACAAACAAACATACACCATATAAATATATATGTATGTGTGTGTGTGTGTGTGTATCAAGTAATAAAACGTGTCAGCATTTAGAAAATGTGCATACCTCAAGGAGCCAATATTTTCTGAATGACTAATGTATGAGGTTACAAAATAACGCTTGAATAAGATATCCACTCCAATTTTAAGATCGACCGATTGAGTCTAATGAAAACAAATACAAAGAATTCATTCATGTGGCTTCAGAATCTACATTACAAATAACTTTTAACAAATTTCCAGTTGTTGAGTTTGGATGTATATCAAAAAATGTAAAATGTATATTATTTTTAAAGGTCACTAATATATTCCTCCCCATTCCAAGTACCTGTCTGTGAGAGGCTGGATTTTTCTTCCCATCTTCAACCAAAACAATATTTTGCCACATGTGGAATGCAGAGGCAGATATGGAAACCCAGTCTATCATCTTTTCATCTACACAGTGAAGTAGTAGGAGAAAATGTTTTAAAAAGTGACACTCACTAGCTTTGCAAAACATCTGTATAATTATTTTTAATTTTTGAACTAGAGCTTAATATATAATGAGTTTATTAATGATAATTTAATCAATATATCAAACTTTTTCAAATTAAAAAAAACGGCAAATATTGATTAAACATAACACAATCATCTCTGGGATAGTCAGTAATTTTCACAAGTACAAAGGGGTCCTGAAAACTACAGGTCCCAGGGCAAATCAATGCCGCTAGCGCTGGTGCAGGTTGGCCACCAGGTGGCAGCACCGCTCCTTGAATCCTGGCATCCTTTCACACACCCAGACTCTCGGTCGTCTCCCCCGCCTCCCCATGTCCCCCCTCACTCCTCTCCACCTCCTTCTCTTCCTCTCCCTTCTCCTGTGTTGCACAACTTCTTAATGACCGGAAATGGTCTTCTAAGCATAGGTTCTGTGAAAGCCAAGTCAGTCATTCATTCTACCCTGCAAATGCTTATGTCTCTCACGTGCAAAGCTGATCATTGAAGAAGGAGTAAGTGGAGAAGCTGGCTCTCCAGGATTTAATCGTCTAGTGCGGGAGTAAAAGGCCGGTAATTACAATGCCCACACGGTGATGTTTGTGAAAGCCCTTATTCTCTACAAAGGGGATTTCTGAGAGGCAGAGGAAGCCAATGGAGAGATACTGGGATACCCCTCCGGAGTCTTGGAGAGATCTGAAACTTCAGTGTGGGGCAAAGTAAGGACAACAGCTAGAAAATGGGAGAGGAGGAAGGACTGGAAAAATGGTATCCAGGGGACAGAAAAGGGGACATCCACTTTCTTGGTTTGGAAGGCAACACTTCCTGGAAATTAGGAAAATTCTGTGCACAGATAGCTGAGGTGGAGTGCGGGGAGGTGTTCAGACCTAGGATCTAGGAAGCCCGGTTACCAGAGAGGCCTCACTGTGGACACCAGAGCAGCCTAGCGTGGGGCAGGAGATAGGTCGGCCTTCAGCTGACCTTAGGATGGCCATCAGTGGAGGCTTGGTGAGATTGGAGGCCAAAGATGGCAGGACAACCATCTGATGTCACCTGTGGATGAATCCTCCGAGCCATCCTAATGCACCAGACACCCAAACTGAACAGAGGGGAACGGGGAGTCAGAAAGTCCAGATCCAGAGAGTTCCAAGCCAGTGGGAAGGGACAGAATGGAGAAAGAGGTGTTATGCTGGAATTCGGGACCCCCAAAAGACCACCAGAGTCCAAGATCAATGTAAACAGCAAAGAGGTGTTTATTGCGAGCTAGCTCCTCCGCGCACACACACCAACAGGTGACGCTGAGAGGCCGCGAGCCCAGGGTTTGCAGCAGTTTTATACATTCTTTGGAGAAGGCAGGGACCCCCCCATACATCATAGCATCTCTTAGCAAGTCATCACACACCGTGGGAAAATCAAATAACAACTCTAAAACATGATTAGCACATTCACTGGCGGGAACAAGTTGGGGAGGGGTGATTGCTTAGTACAAGAGGGGGATTCATTTGAACTGATTGGTTTAAGCCAAGAGGGGTGTACGTGCTGAACTACATGGTTTCCCAACATGTTATCAACCACCATAAACTACTGGGGGGTCATCTGGCATCCCAGGTATTTCCCTGTCTCATTCTGATTGGTGGCTGCTAGGGGGCTGCTATGGGCCCCCACCTAGCCTGACTGAGTCAGGGACACCTGGCACAGCAGATCTCTCCTGTTATTTGTAGATAAACAACTTAGCAGGGTGGGAATGTGCCTAGGAGTGCTCTGTGGGTCTTTCCAAGGACAAAGGTCATGTCCTTTCCTTGGACAGGCTTTGCTCTGAGGTAGAGGCTGGTTTTTCAGAGGCAGCAGGTTGGGCTTAGCCTGGGAGGGTCTGGGCCCCAGGGGGCAGCTTTGAGGAGGGGACCCGCCTTCCTCTTCTGGGGGAGCAGCATGTGATCCAGGAATCACACAGAGCCCTGGAGCATCGGGGCCGTGTTCATGGAGCCCACCAAGATGCCATCGGAACCTGGTGCCAGCCCAAGAAGTGACTGAGCTGACCCAACCTCTCAGTTTCACAGATACAAACCTGGAGGCCGTACGGAGGGAAAGACTTGTAATGGCCCCAGTGAGTTGGCAAAGCTAGGGCTGGAACCCAGCCTCAGCCCCCAGCCTCTGTACACTTTCCACCAGGGTCCCGCAGGCTGGAGGATGAGAGCTTGGGGTGGGGAGAGTCCCACGTGCACCCCCTGGGACACCCAGTGCAGCACAGGTGGACCAAGTGGCCTGAGGGCCACAGCAGTGATACCCAGGGTTACCGTGACTACTCCTTGCTGGGAGTGCTGAAGTATACCACCAGAGAAGCAGCCGCAGCAAGTGTGGAGTGGAAAGAGGAAGGGAGAGAAGACCTCCCCACCCACCCCCCAGGAAGAAGGGGCTTAGGGTGATTTGATGAGCACCTCCCTATTTGCTGGGAGCTGCTTCATTAACAGTTCTTTAGGATGGGCCTGGGCCTTGGGGACATTAACATTTCAATCTCCCAGGTGTGGTTCTGATTTCCTGGGCTCAGGTTGACTCCATTTTCTTTAGGGACTTGATTTTCTTTACTAGGCTCCGTATCAGACCCAATTTACCTAGCTACTCTAACTGCCTGTCTTTCAACCTGGCTTCAGCCTGAGCGTGAGAGAAGCAGAAAGGCTCAGGCCTGCCGTTGGTCCTGAGCACGGGAGAGGGGCTGGTGACTTCATTGTCCCTACAGGATTCTCTGCCCGTTAGTTGTTTGCTTACACATTTTTTTTTATCCAGAAACCACACCCTTTTCTCCCAAAAACAACATCCAGAGTTACTGTTCAGAGCCAGAAAAAAAAAGTGGCCAATTCATGTCCTCGTAGGAGGCTCTGAGTTTCCCACGGAAAACCAGTACCCTGAGGAGCTCCACCTCCCACCAGCCCTCAGTGCAACCTGGGCCTCGGAGGGGGTGAGGAACAGGTGGCTCAAGTCACTACCTGGTGGCTCAGCCCTGACGTCACCTGGGCCTGAACTAGCTGGGATCTGGGGCCCACCATGGCCTCCTGAGATGGGACCAACTGACGGCATGGGATTCCCCAAGTGCAAATTCCATGTCTGGGTTTAGGCTGGCTCCTGACAGCCGCTGAGCCTCATCTCCCCTCCCCCTCCCCATTTTACCTTCATCCTGAACCAACATTATAGGATGACAATCAGCAGCTCTGCAGAAAGTCACAGGGCAAAGGCCAAGAGACCAGTGTGCATTCCACATTCACGCACTTCATGAATTCCTGCACGCCTGCGTTTACCCACTCAGCAACTGCGCACCCAGCACCCAGCAAGTCAGGCCCTCGCTGGGTGCCAGGGTCCCAGAGGTGAGCAGAGCCATATACCTGCCTGAGGAGCCACAGCCAGTGAAGGAGACAGCCAGAGAGTCAAGAACCCCATGGCAGAGCAGGGCACCCCCCGTCCACCCACGGGCACACACCCTGCTTCATTGTCAATGCTTGTGCTTTTCTTTAAAATCAGTTGACAGCTTTTATAAGTGGAAGTTTGCAGTAAGAATGCAGATTCCCCAGGCCTTGGGGAAACCCAGCAACACCGGTCCCGGGCAGCCCTCCCCTGAGGCTGAAGGCTGGCTGTCCTTCAAGTTAAGAATGCTCCTGCCAGCCGGTCTCCACTGAAGGCAAAAAATATCCAAATGGGGACAGACCTCAGTGGATCAGCGACGTCAACGGGCCACAACAGAGGTCTGAGTTTTACAGGGTTCAACAGAGCCGGGTCATGGGATGAGCGGGTCAGTACTTTTGGCAGGCACGTGGAGGGTGGGACAGGAGGGCAGGTAGGGAAGTTCCCTGGGGCCTGTTGTGCTGGGTCATCAGTTCAGTCAGGTGGGGGGCCAGGCTGAGCTCCTCTGCGCTCTCCCCAGCTTCCCTTCCTGCCTCCCCTCCAGCTGAGGCCTGAGCTTCTAAATGACTAAGGCTCCAATTGACCTCGGACGTCTCCCAGCACACACTTAGCAGGAAGGCGGGTGGGGGAACAGCTGCAGCTAGGGGAGTGCCCGGGAGTTTATTCTCAATGTCATTCATCCCGCTACCTAGTGTCCTTGACCCAGAGTTCCCACATCCATTGCCAAAGTCACCCTACTGGCTCTGTTGATTTCTCACACCTGGCCGGCTTCACCTTTGTGCAGGGGTGTGTGACTCTTTGGTGCAGGTGAAATTGCTCCAACTGAGGCAGCAGAGGGCGCTGTGGGAGCACAAGAAAAGGCACCCAGCCGATGCTTACGAAGCCTGAAACTAGATGTAGATTCCTCACCTGCCCGAGCAGGTGGGCACACAGGGTCCACCTTCATTCAGTGATTCCTCTAAACAGTCAGGGGCAGCCTCCGTTGGGAAATGCACCTGAACTTTCCATTTAAGTATTTCTTGGCTGGTGGGGCGCAGTGGCACACCTGTAATCCCAGCTACTCTGGAGTCTGGTGCAGAAGGAACACAAGTTCAAGACCAGCCTGAACAACTTAGTGATACCCTGTCTCAAAAACACAAGAAAAGAGGAAAGTGCTGGAGGTGGTGTAACTCAGTAATAGAGCACCCTGGGCACTCCAGTTCCTCAAAAAATAATAATTTCACAGCCATGTCGACACCATTCATTCATTCAAGTGTGCATTCGACATGCATTTATTAAATAATTGCTGTGCGCTTAATACAGTGCCAGATCCTATCCCAAACTACCAAGGGTTTAAAATGTGATTAGGAAGACAGGATGTCAAATCATGTCTCCCCTGTGTTTTGTGACTCGCTCACCAAGATCCCCCAGCATCTTGTGCTGGTACCAATAATAATGAAAAGGTAACTGATAATAGTGCTTCTTATTTCCTGAACTCTTCCCAGTTCTGCATGTATTGTACAATCCTCAAGGAAGGCGCTATTAGTATCTTATTTTACCAATTAAGGAAAGTGAAACAGCGAAGTTCAATAAATTGCCTAAGGTCACACTCAGTGAGTCTGAGCTCTGTGCATCTCAGCAGTGTAGGCAGGACGTGCTCAGGACCAGGGCTTAGCACACACTGGGGCTGCCCGGGGCTTCCAGAGGGCAGTGGGCAGGAGGGGCCTTGGCAATGAGGGAAGGCTTCTTGAAGACTGGAGAAAAGGACTAGGTGAGGTGGACGAGGAGGAATACCTTCCCCGAAGGAGGGAGAGAGGCTGGGAGGAGCAAGAAGGCAGGACAATACCTCAGGTACGTCCTCCACGCACCATGCACCCTTCCCGGGGCGAGGGGTCAGGATGCCAATAAGGAAATGTGATGATTCAGCAAAAGCAAGGGTGTCCCTCCCCAGACTGTGTGTATGGGAGGCGATAAACATGAAAAAGAACCTCTCTTTCAGGATCTACAGGCACTAAATAGACAGCAGCGAAGTATGCAAATCACTTGACTCCAGGGAAGCAGCCTTAGAGCCAGAAGTGGCCTGGAGGAGACCGCCCTGCCCAGGGGGTGTTCCTGATGGGAAGAATAGCACAGGTTTCCAGGATGAGGCGCCTTTGAGCTGAGCCGGGAGGTGGGGTTTGGATTTCACCATCACAGCTGTGGCAAGGAGCGAGGTGGGCCCCCCCTGGCCACAGTGGAGGGGGACTGCAGGGGAAACTGGCCAGGAGAGACCGAGCCCACGCCCCACAGGGCCTTGTGCAGAGGGCTAAGCCATATCAGTTTGCTCTGTGGGCGGTGGGGAGATACATACGAAGGTGGCAGCAGGAGAGGGGCCCGTCTTGCCCACCAGGAGCGAAATACAATAGCCCTCTTCTAGGTCGTAAGTTCCTGGAGGGTGTGGACCCCAATGAGGAGTGGGATTTAGAAGAGGCAGACCCTGAAGACCTCTCACTCTGACTGTAAGAAGGACGCATACCTGCCATTGCCCTTAACCAGGAATCAAGATGTCTGAGGCCAAGTCCTGCCACGCCACCAGCCAGCTCTGTGAACTTGCTGGGGTCCCTCTCTGGGGTCCTTCATCTGCGATGCAACAGGGTCAATCACCTCTAAGAATCTTTCTAATCCTAACCCCCACTCTCCAAATCTAAGAACTCATGCCAGACCCTCCTCCCCACAGAGCCAGGCAAGCACAGAGGACTAAGGAGAGGAGAGGCAGAGGGGGTCGGCACCACGGTCCTCAGAGGACTTCTAGCTGTCCCAGAGGTGGGATGTGAGGGGGCCAGCGGAGTGGCAGGCCGGTGGCTTGCTCAGGGAGAGAGGGGGGTTGGGGTTGAGGGGACTGAACTCACCAGCCTCCTCCCAAACCAGTTCCAGGCGCAGGGCTGGCAATTTCACAAAAAAAGGCAAAGGAACTATGTGAACATTTCCTGTCCTGCCCAGCCCCCTTCCTGGAGGCTTACCAAACTGATGGCCCGTGAAGCAATCCTGCCCAGAGAGCGCTGGCCCGGAGCTGCCTATAAATGCCAGGCCAGCACCTCCCTGTCAGAGGCTCTGTAGGATCCTGGGCTTTGGTGAGTGAGCTACTCACTGCGCACTGGCAGAAGCCTGCCTTCCAGTTCTTTCTCTTCTCCTCCCACCCAACCTTCTTCCAAACTGGAAGCCCTCCTTGGTCTGGCCCTGAACACTTTCTAGCACCCTTCACGTTTCTTGGGTCTTCTGTGCCCAAGTACTTTTCCCCCTCCCTTCCTTCCTGCCCGTGGCCAGAGGGCAATCAAGGCAGCCTGGCAGCCTCTTCTTTCTTCTAAATGTCCCAAATCCTTGCTTCTCCGTTATTCCGACAGAGTGCAAGAAGATGGCGCGTGAATTGTCACAGATGGAACGCAGCATAGAGACCGTGATCGACACCTTTCACCAGTACGCAGTAAGGTCAGGGGACCCAGACACCCTGAACCAGAAGGAATTCAAACAGCTGGCGAAGAAAGAGCTGCAAAACTTCCTCAAGGTAGGGCTTGGTCAAAGAGAGAGGAGCAGGTGCTGTCTGCAGCAATCAAGGAGAAAGCTGTAGCCGGGAACTTGTCTGGAATCCCAGCTACTCAGGAGGCTGAGGCAGGAGGATCTCAAATTTGAGGCCAACCTAGGCAATTCAGCAAGACCCTGCCTCAAAATAAGAAATATAAAGGGCTGAGGTATAAGACAGTGGTAGAGCACATTGGGTTCAACTCATACCAAAAGAGAGAAAGGGAGAATACTAGCTTCTTCTACCCAGAGGCACTAGAGGTGCTCAAAGCTAGGCAGCACTAATAGAGTCAAGAAATTGTGTGGTTGGACATGTGCTGTGTGTGAAGCCTTGTGTTGGGCACAGGGAAGTGGCAGTGACCAGGTAGCCCACTCTCCCATCGGGGAGACATACAACAAATGAACAGATAAATCCAACCCCTCTAAGTGCCTGGGAGATAACAAATAGGGTGGTGGTCTGGGTTGGTAGGGCAGAGGGGATTAGGAGGGGTGGACAGGAAGAGCCTCTTTAGGTGACACACGAGCTGAGACCCGGGTGTTGGGAAGGGAAGCACCTAAACTCAGCACTCGGCAGGAAGCTAAGACTAAACTGGGAATGTGGGGTAGACCTAGAGGGCTTTTCCAATCCCACCGGTCCAGGGAAGAAAATTGAGAAATAAGGAGCACGTGGAGAACCCGGCGCAGCACGGGCACGTACAGAGCACTCGTGGAATGCGTTTCCCTGTTCTGAAAACGATTTCCAGGAAAAAGAAGGATTCGTTCCCACACTCTTTTGGTTTTCTTTATAAATCTGGGGAAATTGGGGAAACGGAGGCCTAGACTAAGAAGGACATAGAACACGTGGGTCCCAGGCCCAATCCTGTTCCCAGGGCCAGTCGTCCTGGGGAAAGTCCCCATCCCCCTCTGGTGCTCGTCCCTCCCTGGTAAGATGGAGAATTGCCACCATGGGATGTCTGAGGGACAGTGACAACTCCCTGCAGGTGAGGGTCTCAGGCTGGATGAGGTAGACAGGGCACCAAGAGGCTGTGTGGGTGACCTTCTCCTCTGTGGGACACCCGCATGCTCTCCATCCCCCTCCCCAGTGTCCCCTGCCAGAAGCAAAGTGGTAGGCTAAGAAGGGGACCTACAAGGTGGGCCATCAAGAGTCCAGGAGAAGGCTGAGCAGAGGGGTCCCAGCCAGAGAATGGCAGAGCGGGCAGCTGGTTCTCTTTGGCTCACCTGGACCTCGTCACCTCGCCCCCATCCTCCTGGCATGCTCTGTCTTACCCTGTGAGGTCAGCAGAGCCCCTCCACGGCTCTGCCCTGCCCAGGACCTCACAGCAGCTGGCTTTCCTAAGTGCCTCCCCCGAATCTGAGGCCTGATGAGCTTCACTAACTGGAGACCTCTAGGGAAGGAGGGGAGGGGGACTGAGGAGATTAAAGAGAACGGGACCTGAATCTGCTTCTCCACCTCTGGGCTTCCAGGCTGCTCAACCCAGGAACGGCTGAGCCTCTCTAAGACTCGAGTCTTCCTAGGAAGATGTGATTTCCACCTGTTCAAGTTGTTAAAAAGATCAAATGAGGGGATATGTCTAGACTTGCAAATTGTGGGACCTTCTTCTGTAAAATAGAGAGCCAGGGTCCTCAAGTTGGAGGGCAGGTCTGGGGAACCAAATAGAAAGAGTTTAGCACACGCTTAGTGTCTGCCCCTCCGGGGGCACCCAGTCAATGGTCATCTTGAAGTGTCTTTAATGGGGGCCAACCTTCCCCATTCATCGGCTATCTGGCCATTCACTGTGCTCCAGGGTCCCCCCACCCCTGGCCATACCCAGCCCTTACAGCCCTCTCTCCCACACCCACAGAAAGAGAATAAGGATGAGAAGGTCATAAATCACATCTTGGAGGACCTGGACACCAACCAGGACAAGCAGCTGAGCTTTGAAGAGTTCATCATGCTGATAGCAAAGCTGACCCATGCCTCCCACGAGGAGATGCACAAGAACGCCCCCAATAAGGAAGGTCACAGCCACGGGCCAGGCCTTGGGGGGTGCCGCTAATCGGGAGGCCACTCCACCCTGCTTCTGGCCAGCCAGGGCCACAGGGAATGATGTGTCCCACTGCCTTGGCTGTGGCCGTGGAGGTCAAGGGGAAATAAAGTCTTTCACCCTGCAAGGACTCCGCGTGCTGCTTCTGCCACCTTCCCAAGTTGTCTGAGGGATTAGGGGATCAGGAGGGGTGGACAGCCCACCCGTGTCTGCAGCTCCGCCCTCCATCAGGTCAGAACAAAATGAGAACCAGCAACATGTGGCTCTGTTCTGAACCTCTTGGGTTCACCTACCTGACCATGTCCTCCTCCCTGACATCAGACCCTCCTGCTCAGGTCCAATCATGCTGTCCTGCCTGTCAACACAGCCTGGTCCCCTCAGAAAGCAAAAGCGGGCTATCCCTGTCCCTCAATGTGCCACACACTTCCTTACCCCCTCCCAGCCCCGCCTGGCCCATCACTGTCCATATGGTCATCTCTCTCTATTAGAACTCTGTCCCTCTGAGGTCTCCCAGAAATGGACCTAGACGATGCCACATCTGGGGAAAAGAAAACACTTGGGCAGTGGGAACAAGGACAAATGGGGATGATTATGTACCAACTCGTTTCTGGATCCAAGACAGCAGTTGGATTTCTCCTAATAGGCCTAGTATCCTAAATGTGGGTGTTAGCGGGTGGGGTGCTCAGTGGGAGGGCGTGAGAGTTAGCCCATGCCTACCCCAGCCCCAGCAGGACAGTGGAGTGACAAGGCCCCCACCTGCCCAGCAGAAGACATGAGCACCAGGCTGGGTTCTGCAATAAAACCTTCAGAAGCGCCAGGGAGAGCTTGAACTCTGAGTCCACAGATCATCTGGGGCCTGAAGATTCAGATTTTAAGCCTCAAGATCCAGCTGATCTCCCTGCTGCAGTGGAGATTTCTCCAGCCCCTGGTTGGTGGCTGAGAGCTCGGGCCAGTGGAATTTACTCCTCTCTGCAAAACCTGCATCCTCCAGACCCAAGTGCCCACCTCAGAGACGTCCAAGTGACTCCTCTTTCATCTCCCTGACCTCTGCTCCTAAAATCCCTTCCCAGGTCACAACCAGCTGGTGTGGGCCTTGCAAAAACCACAGCCCAGTTCAGGGTTCTCTACATGAGATTTAGGATCAAGAGAGAGATACTGCATCTCAAAAAACACTCATAAGCCATGGAGATGCAGAAAATGCTCAGGAGGAAGAGTTGTAAATCCTGAGGGACATGCCCTGAGCCCAGGCCCTTGTAAAAGCACAAGCTCAGGGAAAACTGGCAAGAAATTATGTGACTCCACCCTGGCTCCACCCCACACGAGGGGTGACTCCACCCTGGCTCCACCCCACACGAGGGCTTGCTGCTGTCTCTCCCTCTGGAGAGAACCCACATCTTCCCTGAATTCGTATTCCTTGCTCTTCTTGAGATTGCCCCCTTCTCCCTTGACTATGTATTTTCTTTCCTAAATAAACATCTTCTACGTCTTTGATGGCTCATGCTGAGATTCTTCTCCGTCACGTAGGCCAGGAGCCCTGCTGGTCCTGGGTCAAGCTCCCCCGTCTCTCTGGGAACTCCTCGAACACTGCTTCAGAGGCACGTCTTCTCCTGTGACATAGGCCCCAGCCTTGCCGCAGGGAGAAGACACAGAATTGGGAGTGGGGGGAGTTGGAGAAGGACTAGCAGTCATCTACTCCCTTTTTTTTTTTTTTTTTTTTTTTTTAATAAATGAAGAGACACATACAGCAGAGACTAGTGCAAGGTCACACAGGAGCAGAGTGGATCAAAATAGTGCCAGGAGAAGCCCACCCACTTCACTGCCTGAGTCTCCCCCTTCCTTCCCTAGAGCCGAGCAAGAAGAAAGTAGCCTCCCGCTGCGACCTACTGTCACGGAGTCCCCAGCTGCTGGTAGCATGCTCCTACTCTGAAGCCCCCAGGCCTCCACTGTGGGGGTGAGGACTTAAGAGCCCTTAATGTCTCCAGGCTGTGGGTTTGGGTACAGAGTTGGGAAGCCCTCACCAGCCTTCAGTGCCTGACCTGGTGCATCTTCTGACCGGCTACTACCCCTCCACACATCCAGGGAGGCCTCGCCCTCTTTATCCTCTTCTGAATGCGGTTAGGCACAGGGGAAAGAAGCAACCTGGGATATGAGGCCTGAGTGCCAGCACTGGACTCCGTGCTCAGGGGAAGGCAGGCAGGTGCTTCCCCCCACCACCACTCTCTGCCCATTACTGACCACAATGTCCCCGAAATATATCTGTGACTCTGTCTGCAACACTAGACTGTGAACTCTGGGGTGGCAAAGTCCATTCCCTTGTCTTATTCTCACTTTATCCCCAGCACCAGAGGGATGGATGGAGCAGAGTAGGAGCCCAACAAACACTGACTGTTTAAATGTCCTAAAATT